CACTGAGGGTTGCGATCCGTTGCTGGACACGGAAAAAGACAAAAGACAAAAAAAAAAAGGGCAAAGGATTTGAATAGAAATTTCTCCAGATAACATATACAAGTGGCCCATAAGTACATAAAAAGATGCTCAGCATTACTAGTGATTAAGGAAATGCAAATCAAAACCGTAATGAAATAACACTTCACCCGCACCTGGGTGCTAGAGTAGGAAAGGCAGACAATAGCGAGTGTTGGCAAAGACGTGGAGAAACTAGAATGTATGTCTGCAAACGGCTGGAGGGAATGTAAATGGATCTGTCACTTTGGAAAGCAATCTGGTAGTTCCTCAAAATGCTAAACATAGACTAAGTTATTATGTGACTCAATAATTCCACTCCTAGGTGTCTACCCAACAGAAATTAAGACTTAAGCCCATATAAAACTTGTACAGGAATGTTCGTAGCAGCATTATTCATAATAGCCAAAAGATGGAAAACAACTCAAATGTTCATCTACTGATGAATAGATGGGTAAAATGTGGTCTATCCACACAACAGAATAGTGTTCAGCCAAAAAAAGGAATGAAGTACTAACACATGCCACGACGTGGATGAGCCTTGAAAACAGTATGTTCAGTGAAGAAGCCAGTCACAAAAGAGCACATATTGTCTGTCGTGTTCATAGGAAATGTCCAGAATAGACAAATCTGTGGAGATAGAAAGTAGATGATTGGTTTCTAGGGGCTGAGCAAGAGGAGAATGGGAGTGACTGTTAATGGGTTCAGGGTTTCTTTCTGGGGTGGTGAAAATATTCCAGATAGCGATGATGGTTGTACAACTCTGTGAGTATAGTGAAAAAAAAAAAGAAGGCAGGGAATTATAGGATGATGACATGGGTGGAAACGTAGAGGGGTACTGGCTGGGAGTCTAGAGACTAATTTTTGGTTTAGAGTTGTGTGCTGATTGGCTGCTTGGCTCTTGCACAAGCCACTTCTCTTCAGTTCTCATTTCCTCACCTACAGAATAGATGAGTTCAACTATGATACCTTTATTTATTTATTTATTTATTTATTTTCTAAAAGGATGACCGGTAAGGGGATCTTAACCCTTGACTCGGTGTTGTCAGCACCACGCTCACCCAGTGAGCTAACCGGCCATCCCTATATGGGATCCGAACCCGGGGCCTTGGTGTTATCAGCATCGCACTCTCCCGAGTGAGCCACGGGCCAGCCCAACTATGATACCTTTAAAAGATCCTTTCCAGGCATAAAATGTTATGAGTCCATGAAGGGCTGAAAATGGTCTCAGGGTCATAGTGGGCCACTGGAAATGTTCCAGGAGTACCAAAACTCCCTGTGGAGGTTGAGTGCATGGCTGGTATTGGATGTCACCNAACCCGGGGCCTTGGTGTTATCAGCATCGCACTCTCCCGAGTGAGCCACGGGCCGGCCCAACTATGATACCTTTAAAAGATCCTTTCCAGTGCTGGCCTGGTGTCGCACTTGGTAGAGTGCAGCACTTGGGAGTGCGGTGGCGCTCCCGCCAAGAGTTCGGATCCCATATAGAGACCGGTCCGCTCACTGGTTGAGCACGGTGCGGGCGCGACACTGAGGGTTGCAATCCCGTTGCCAGTCGTGGTACGGGCGCAACACTGAGGGATGCGATCTCGTTACCGGTCACGAAAAAAGACAAAAAAAAGGAAAAAAAATAAAATAAAAAAATAAAAGATCCTTTCCAGGCATAAAATGTTATGAGTCCATGAAGGGCTGAAAATGGTCTCAGGGTCATAGTGGGCCACTGGAAACGTTCCAGGAGTACCAAAACTCCCTGTGGAGGTTGAGTGCATGGCTGGTATTGGATGTCACCAAGAGATATCTATTTCTGGAAGCTCCCAGAGTAAAAAGACCCTGGAGAAAAATCAGAGGAGATCTCTGAAGAGAATTAAAAGGGTGACAATGGGTGCAGCTTTACTAAAAAGCTAGAACTCCATGTGGGATAAGAAAGGTTTAAGAGTGTCTAGGTGAAGGAGGAGAATGCTGTTTCTTTAAGGAAACCTGTCTTGTTACCCAGCAGTGGGGCTTATCAGTCTGAAAGTGGCAGGGGCAGCTCCCCAACCCACTTCCTCTTTCCTGCTCACTGCTCAGGCTGGCCCAGAACAGAAGCAGCTCCCTGAGGGGCAGCCGTGCAGGCCACTTCTGGCTGCCTCCTCCGCCTCTCCCCGTCACTCACGTCCAGACAGCCGTCTCCCTTCCTCTCTCCCTCTCTCCTGTCCTTCAGCGAGAATCACCCACTGCCTGCCTTGTGGGACTGTTCTGTCTCAGTGCTGCAGACCTGGCAGGCAACCAGCAGGGCGATTAAGTCCCTGACTGCATGGAGTTTACTTTCTAGTGAGGGACACCCACAACCAACAAGTAAACAAGGTGGTGCAATGTGCTTAAGAAAGGAAGCAGAGCAGGGCAGGGAGTCAGAGGGAGGGGGGTCGTGGAGAAGCTGGGGGCGTGACAAGGTTGTCGTCAAAGGCTGATAGGACCATGTGACCTTGGTAAGGACCCGAATGATGTGAAGTAGCAGATCACGTAGAGTTTTGGGAGGACAGCCTGCAATGCGGAGGGAGCAACGGGTCAGAAGGCTTCGCAGTAGGAATGAACTTGGCCTTCTAAAGTATGGGCCAAGGAGGCTGGGTAAGTGGGGGGCAGCATGGAGGCAGATGGGCTCGAGAAGTGGCAGGGGCCAGTTCATGAAGTGTGAAGCCCCCCATGCCATTATGAGCAGTTTGGGAAGCCATCGGAGGGTGTTGAGTAGGCTCGCAGTAGGAATGAACTTGGCCTTCTAAAGTATGGGCCAAGGAGGCTGGGTAAGTGGGGGGCAGCACGGAGGCAGATGGGCTCGAGAAGTGGCAGGGGCCAGTTCATGGAGTGTGAAGCCCCCCATGCCATTATGAGCAGTTTGGGAAGCCATCGGAGGGTGTTGAGTAGGGGTCTTATGTATGTCTCACCCTGGTAGAAATCATCAAAAGGCTGCTGCTTACCGAACAGTGCTGGCGCTGGCTGTGCAGGTGCAGTGTAAGGTGAGCTTCTGAGGACAGGGTCCAAGTCTTACTCAGCACAGGGAGGCGTTCCACAGGTGTGGAGGGATTGAATGGCAGGCAGTTACCATAAAGAAAAATCATGCATCCCTCCCATAAATGGCTCAGTTCTTACATCTACTCGGTTCTTCTTCCAGAGGCAGGCAAAGTATTCCGAGAATAAGCTGAAATGCACAAAGGCCCGGAATGACTACTTGCTGAATCTGGCAGCCACCAATGCAGCTATAAGCAAGTACTACATCCACGACGTCTCCGATCTCATCGATGTGAGCACTGTGGGGAGTCTGGGACTGATCAGGGCCCGTACCCGGCTGGCACATACCATCAGCTGAAGGGGGGCTGGTCTTTGTCCTTGGCCGATGTGCTGGGTGGCTGGGGTCTTTTGAGCCCTGCTGGAGGAAAGGGCAGTGAGCCTTTGGGACCTGGGGAATGCATATTGCTCACGGTTTCTACTTTCAGGAGTGGGAGGTAGGCCTCTGGTGGACCCTACATGATTGGCTTGGGCAGTCACATATTCATCACCAACTTCCCTCTTCTACACCAGGTGTTTGCTGGGTTTGAGGGGTACAGGTGAATCATACACAGTTCATGCCTTGGAGGTAAAGGAGATGTTAATATGTTCAGTGCCCCTACGTCCAGTCAGCCAGACATACATACATGGAGAGGGACTAGCAAATGAGACAGAATTACACAGACCAGCCTTATGTGGGGGTGCTATCTTGGGAGAAATCAGGCAGTTAAACAAATAGAGAATGGAACACTGACTCCCGAATACCAGCTGTGCAGGATACGCTGGAGGGACAGCTGGGCTTGGAGAAAGAACACTGTGAGCGGCAGCCTCAGGGAGGGCTTCTGCGTCATCTAAGCATGAGCCAGGACTATGTCCCTTGTCTCCCCTTTCCTGTACAGATGGGATCTGGCCTGGTAGACGCTCAGTAAAGGTTCAGTTTAGTACTGGTTAATGGATCCTTTTCCTGTGGCCTTAGTGTATCCTGTCGGGAAGTCAGAGGGCCACTGTTTTTCCCCTGGACACAGAGGGGGACCCATTGTCACCATCCTAAGGAAACGGAACTGCCCAACTTCCAAATACCTGAGGCCAAAGGGTATTGGCCCCTCTTTCCTGCCTTTCATCCTTCCATTTTGCTCATTCAGCCCTTTCATTCATTCATTCACCAAATATTTACTGAGCACTTACTATGGTCTAGGATTTCAAGGGCAGCTGTGGGCAGGAGCCAACACATCTGAGCTCATGGAACTTACCCTGCAGAAGACATGTTAACAGGCAATTGCAGTGCCACATGGTGGGGGTCACAGGGAGAGACATGGAGGGGAACGTGGACCCCCAGAGGAGGGACACCTGACACAAACTCTGATGGGGAGGACATCAAGGAAGGCTTCCTGGAGGAAGTGACCTCTAAACGATATTCTGAAGGAAGAGTATTCCAGGCAGAGGGGATGCACGTCGAGAGATGGGGAAGAATGTGGTGAATGCAGGGAGCCTAGAGAAGATCTGCTATTGCCCAAATCCCAACACCAACTCCCTCTGAGGGTTGTGGGGTGGTTTGTGCAGCAGGATTCCAAAGCACATCAGGGCCTCCGGGATGGAAGGTTTGGCCATGGAACAGGAGATGGTGGTAAGTCACGGTTCTAATCCAAACCCTTCTCTTTTTGCTCCTCCCCAAGTGCTGTGATTTGGGCTTTCATGCCAGCCTGGCCCGCACCTTCCGGACCTACCTCTCAGCCGAATACAACCTGGAGACCTCTCGGCACGAGGGGCTGGATGTCATCGAGAATGCGGTGGACAACCTGGATTCCCGCAGCGATAAGCACACTGTCATGGACATGTGCAACCAGGTCTTCTGCCCTCCACTTAAATTTGAGTTCCAGCCCCACATGGGGGATGAGGTAGGTTTCTCCCAGGAGCCCGTGCTTGAGGCTGCTTCTGTCTGCTCTCTCATGTGCCCCCAGAACATCAGCCCTGGTTGCATGTGCAGGATGTCCATCTCAGAGACCTGGGGTCAAGTTATTGGTTCATGTGCTTCCCCAGCCGAGGAGTTCACCACTCATACCCTGATCTAGCTGTCCCCCACCTGCAGAATTGCAGGACCGTGGCTTCCCTTAAAAGCCCTCCCAGGTATGCTGAGAAGAGCCCAAGGGAGCCCCCCTCCCAGTTTGCACACACAGAGTCTCACGTTCTTCCCTCGGATGCCTGGTGGCCACGGGAAGGTTGGGTCTCACCACAGCCACTCTGGCTGGCACCACCTGCCTTCCTCCAATGCTGTGAGCCCTTGACACACCAGACCCCTGAGTTTCTTTCAGTGCTTGTACTACTCAGATCCTTGCTATGTTTTGAAAAAAAAAAAAAAAATGGGGAGAAGGCACTTGTCACTGGCCCTAACATAGCACTACTAGTTACCCAAGGTTCACAAAATTGTTTATGCAAACAGCTCCCTGAGCTTTTCTGTGTCCCTCCTCCCTCTGGGCATTGGGAGGACCTAGATCAAAGTGTGCCAGAACCAGCCAGCCTCTGCATCCCAGTGGGAGCCCAGCTGGGCCATCCAGGGCACCTGCTCGGAGGGGAGCGACACGGAGGCCTCTCAGAAGATGGAATTTGCTAGGCCCTCTGAACGGCTGTGCCCACTTTCTTCATTAGCAAGAGAGAGGCCTTCTGCAGGGCTACACACTGCCCCTGCCCCTCCCTCTGCCCTCAGGCCCAGCCCTTTTAGCCCATCACCTGGATCTGAAAATTCTGGCCTCATGGTTACCATGGTGACTGTGAAGATTGGGTTGCCTAGTTAGAGGTCAATAACTAGCTTTGTGGACAGAGCCCTGCTGTCCCTTATGATCTTAGCTGTGTTCCTCGAAGGGGTGAGGTCATAAGGCAGTCCAGGCAGCCCAGTCCACAGGTAGTAATAGTGTCCTGATGGAAAGGTATAGGGAGAACAGTGTTTCTCTTGATTCTTCCCCTGCTCCACCCTCACCCAGTCAACTGAGGCAGAAGAGCTGTGGGAGGGCAGACCTCGCAGGTGCCTTTCTGCAGCATCTTCCTGGGGGTGATGGGAACACCCCACTGTTATTTTTCAGTTGTTGTCCTTTCCATTGGCTTCTCTTATGTGATTGATTGCTTTCTTGCCACAACTCCTTGCCCTGAAATTAATGAATTAGTTTTGCTTAATGAGATTATGTTAAAGCTCTTTGTAAACC